AGCGCCCGAGGTGGAGTTTGCCCTGGTGCCCGCAGCGCCCTCCCCAAGACGAAAGGCCGCGCGTCGGAACAAACGGCGCGGCTACATCTACACACCAGCACTGTGCCTGGCCGGGGCCATCCTGGGCCCTGGGATGGTGTAGGCACCATCCTAGAGCCCAGGATGGTCCTGACCAGGCACGATGGTGGTGCATAGCTGCCCTCTCTGCGGGCAGGAGAATCAGCAGCAGCAGCAGCAGCAGCAGCAGCAGCAGCAGCAGCAGCAGCAGCAGCAGCAGCAGCAGCAGCAGCAGCAGCAGCAGGAGCAGAAGAAGGAGCAGCAGCAGCGGCAGCACGAGCTCCAGCAGCAGCGGCGGCGCGAATGACGCTAGAGATCAAGTCGGTCGCGGATCGCGGATTGGCGGCGCGCGCGACGGGGTGTAGCGAGGGGCCCTCAAGAGGAGGCAGGGGGCTTCTCAGACGGGCACGGAGGCTTCCAAGACGCCCTCGATCCCAGAAGCCGGCACCCCCGCCGCGGGGTGCTTTTGAGAAGCCCCCCCCGCCCTTTTCTTGCCACCCCGGCGCAGCCGACGATCGCCCCGGGGGCCAACCACCCAGACCTCTCCTCGGACACCCCGGCCTTCCAGGGGAGCCCAGCCGTGACGACGAGGAGCATCCCCGAGGCCCCAGGAGCGACGAGAAGAAACGGGTTTTAGTTGCGCAATATGAGGTAGCAACCTTGCCCGGAGGCTTCTGAGCGCGGTACGCTTTATGGGAAACGAGGTATCGACACCCTTCTCTGCCGTCGCTCAGATGCCCAGACATCCGACGTTTTCTTTCCGATGCTGGGTCCCCCAAAGCCCCGACCACTTCCCCTCGGCCGCTTTTCCGTCCCGGGTCGTCTGTTCACGGCCCCGGGGCCCGCCATGGCCCCCCGAGGCCGAACACGGGCGACCACCTCCCGCCGCGTGTTGCCACTGCGCGAGCACGTCAGGGTCCATAACTAGAGGCCTCCTGGACGGGGTCGAGGTAGACGGGGTCGGTGGATCGCGCCGCATCGCCGATGCATCGGCGATGCATCGGCGATGCCTCGGCGATGCACGGGGGATGCAACGTCGACATCGGCAGTGCATCGGCGATGTCGACGTGGAGCAAGGCGGGCTCCACATCGAGCCGCATCGCCGACGGATCGGCGATGCGGCGCGATCCTCCGACCCCATCTACTCCGACCCCATCTAGGAGGCCTAGAATTATGTTGTTCGCATCCGACTTAAGGACCACATCCCAGAAATAATTTCGAGCACCCAGAAAAGTGTCAAAAGAGTGTCGAAACAGCGCCGGGCGAGTGCCTCTCAAGGCCCGACACGTGAAAACCCTTGAGCTTCGGTACTTTTTGGGGCGCCCGAATTTTTCCAGGTGATCAAGGCTAAAGTAGGCTGGAGCATCATAATCCTGGAATCGGCGGTGGACAAACCTCCCTTTAGTACACCTCCCCGTAGTGAAAACGGCCTGCGACCGAAACCGACGGACCTGGACCCGCAAAAATGCCCGCCGCGACGCCCTCTCGCGAACCGAAAACGGCCAATCCACGAATCGACGCGTCAGAGTAAGGAGGCCTATCGAGCTCCGATAGCATAACATCGGCCCTCGCTCCTCGGCCCTCCTGGGCTCGGCAGCCTTCCCGTCCGCCGCCGCCGCGTGCTTCCTGGGCATGGCCGGCCCGCCCGCCCGCCGGCGGCGGCCCGCCCGAGGCCCATGGCCCGCGGCGCGGCCCGCCGGTCGGTCGGCGCGGGGTCCAAAGGCCTGCGTGGTCGGCCACAGGAGGAGGAGGAGGCGGAGGAGGAGGAGGAGGAGGAGGAGGAGGAGGAGGAGGAGGAAGAGGAGGAGGAGGCGGAGGCAGAGGAGGCGGAGGAGGAGGAGGCGGAGGAGGGAGGAGGGGCGGAGGAGGAGGAGGAGGAGGAGGAGGAGGAAAAAGGCCAGCCTACAGAACGGAGCGGCCCTGGGGCAACAGCGGCCTGTGGTGCGCGAGTCTCGGGGGCCGCGGGGAGGCCGAATCAGAGCGCGCAGGCCGCTGCTGTCGCACCGCATTCGGCCGTCTGGAGGCCCAGCGTGCCGTACCAGAGGCCACTCAGTCGAGCCCCAGGACGAGCGCCGGGGCCCTCGTGTGGTCGGTTTCCTCCCTAGACGGCACCCCTGCCCAGTGAGCGACGACAAGAAGCGGGTGTTACGCGAGATGGCATCAGCGACCACATGCCACGGCTGACGCGAGCCCGCGGCCCATCGACCTGGAAACGGGGGGCGCTGCTGGGGGGTCCAGCATAGTGACGTCTTACGCTTATTCAAATTAGACCTCACCATCCCTGCGATTTGTGAAACTGTCGCCACTTTCGAGGCCTGCTGGGGGGTCCAGCATTGTGACGTCCTACGCAGATTCAATTTCGCCATCCCTGGGGGGCTGCGATCTGTGAAACTGTCGCCACTTTCGAAACCAGCTGGGGGGTCCATCATAGTGACGTCCTACGCAGATTCAAACTAGACCTCGCCATCCCTGGGGGCTGCGATATGTGAAACTGTCGCCACTTTCGAGGCCTGCTAGGGGGGCCAGCAAAGTGGGGTCCCGCGGCGGACTCAAATGGGACCTCCCAAATGCTGGTCGCCGAAATACATACGTCCATGTCTCGTCATCACCCCCTTTATGAAGTCGCCCAAGCTACTCATGCCCCGAATTGCGCAGGGGTTGGGTACGTCGCCACCGAAATTTCAGTACGGGATCCCCAGAAGTCTCAACCCATTCCCCAAGATTATCCCGAGTGTTCGTGTTGACGGTCCCGGGGTCTTGCGAGAGCCTCTAGTCGGCGGCGTGCCCGGGGGGGAGTGAGAAGGGGCGGGCCTTCTCAGACGGCTCAGATGCCCCCTGGCCTTCTCAGAAGTTTTCGAAGCCTTCCCCGAAGACACTGACAACCTCGCAGAAGGCCGGAGGGCTTCTGAGAAACCCCGCCGCCTTCTGAGAAGGCCTTATCCTTCTCACCTCGAGATCCGACGGCGCGAACAAAATTGAGGCATCGCACAGAAACCATGAAACATCACGGCCGGAGCCGTGGACCCCATTCTTCTGCTGCGTGTTTCGAACAGCATCGATCTGCGAGGGTCCCGTGGCCCGACATCGCGCGAAACCGCCCGGCTCGAAATAACTGAAACGCCAGGATCTCAGGGCACTTCCCCCTGCCTCGCTCGCCACCGCCTCTACAGGCCGAAGGCGGCGAGAAGCCGCCCGTCCTGATTCTGCTCCATGCGTTGGATCTCTGGGCCGCGGCGCCTCTCGGGGCACCCTTTAGGGAGGCATCGGGCACCATTGGGGGTCGACGAGGGTCCAGGGATGGACATGAGAGAAGGAGGAGGGGGGGGAGGAGGAGGAGGAGGAGGAGGAGGAGGAGGAGGAGGAGGAGGAGGAGGAGGAGGAGGAGGAGGCGGAGGAGGAGGAGGAGGAAAGGAGGAGGTGGAGGAGGAGGACGAGGAGGAGGACGGAGGAGGCGGAGGCGGAGGAGAACGCGGAGGAGGAGGAGAAGGAGGAGGCGGAGGAGGAGGAGGAGGAGGGAGGAGGGAGGAGGGTGGGATGAGGGTATGCCGCCCAGCTCCTCCTGCGCGCCGCCTGTGGAACCGACGGCCTGCAAGACCCCAGCGGGCGGTCGATATGGATATGTTAACATGGAAGTATGGCCATATAGCCATGTGGATACATGGGTATATAGATGAATGGTTATATATATATATATATATATGTGTGCATGTAATATATATATATATAGATATATGCACATGCATATATATATATATATATGTATATGTATGTAAATATATGTATATATACATATGTTTGCCAGGGGACCCGAATGTATCCAGATCCACCGCCTGCCGAAGACCCCGAGGATTGATCCCCCACGCGGCGGTTGTGCGTACAGCTCCGCCTCGCATTCGGATCCTCCACCCATCCCCCCCCACTCCCCCCGTGCGCACTGTCCTCCCGCCCCTTCCGCGGTCCCGTCCGGCCGCCCCCTCTCCTCGAACCCTGGCGGCGCCACCTCGCAGGCAGCCGAACGCAGCACGCGCAGCATGCACGAGGTCAAAGCCCAGGCAGAGGAGGGGCGTGCCCTCCCCCCTTGGAGGGGGGAAGAGCGCAGGCAGAGACGGGGCATGCAGGCATGGGGGCGGGGAAAAAGGAGAGCTCCAGAGGAGGAGCGGGAGGAGGGAGCGGGAGGAGGGGGGCGAGGCCCCTGAGATCCTGGCGTCTCCAGTATTTCGAGCTGGGCGATTTCGCCCGATTCCGGGCCACGGGACAGTCACGGATCGATCCAGCTCAAGAAATCCCGCAGAAGAATGGGGTCCAGGGCTCTGGTCGTGATTGTTTACGTTGCTTAGGGGCGGGGGAGGAAAGGTCGTCCATGAAGGAAGGGTCAAGTCCTTTCTGCTGGGTGAGCGCAGAGCCCATTTGGACCAGATGGTCGACACTGCCCTTACAGCGCGCTCATCCTCACCTCAGGCACACGAAGCCGAAGGGAAGGACATCGTCATCCTCCTCCTGCGCACCTTCCCAGACATCCGACGGTGTGTGTGTGTGTGTGTTTTGTCAATGCGCTGCCCCGAAGGGTCCCGACCCCTTCCCCGGGGTAGTTTTTCGCCCCGGATCTACCGCTGATGGCCCTGCCGAAAACGCTCCCCGCGAGGGCCGACTCCGCCCGCCGGATGGACAACAAACCTATCGCCGGAGGTCCTGGCTCTCCTCGTGCGGGACGGGGAGTGGCCCTCCTCCTCGTCATCTGCCTCTTCCCCCTGCGCCTCCTCCTCCACCGTGACCTCCTCCCTCCTCAGCCTCCACCGCCTCCTCCTCAGTCCTCCTCCTCCTCCTCCTCAGTCCTCGTCCTCCTCCTCCTCCTCCTCCTCCTCCTCCTCCTCCTCTTCCTCCTCCTGCCCTGCTCGTCGTCCTCCTCCTCCTCCCCCATTTGAGCCCCGGCACGCGCGGCGCCGCCTCCAGCTCGCGCTCCGCACCGAGCGCCAGGCAGATCTGGCGGCAGCGGTGGCGGTGGGGCTTCACCTGGCGTGGAGGGGAAGAGGGGGAGGAGGAGGAGGAGGAGGACGGGGAGGGGAGGGACGAAGATGGGGGAGGAGAAGGGGATGAGGAGGAGGAGGAGGAGGAGGAGGAGGAGGAGGAGGAGGAGGAGGAGGAGGAGGGAGGAGGAGGAGGAGGAGGAGGAGGAGGAGGAGGAGGGGGGCAGCCCCTCGCCGCCCCTCCGAAAGTGCGTGCTGCCGCGCGCCTTCTCGCCATCGCAGAGGAGACGCCCCTTCCCCGTGCGTGCTCCATGTCGTGCGTGTCTCTTTCGCTCTCCCGGGAGGGTCCCAGAAGCGACTCCCCGAGGACCCTCGCCGAGACAGACAGGCACACGCCCGAGCGATGCCCCGCCCTGGGATCCCGGCGCTGCACTTCCTTCACACGCCGGGCGCTTCCGCCGGGCGTTGGGCCCCCGGCCGGCTCAGAGCGATGCAGCTCGAACGATGGGGCATTGGGCTCAGGATTGCAGGATTGCAAAAAAACCCGAAGGATTGCAAAAAAAACCGTCGTGTTGAATTGCAAAAAAAACCCTTTGCAAAAAGGTTTTTTTGCAATCCTTCTTGCAATCCGTCGTGATTCTTTGAGATGCCGCATTTGATTCGCAATGCCCGATCACAAGGAGCCCCCGCCGTCCCTGTCAAGTGCATCGCTGTCCGCCCGAGGTGGGTGGTGGGCAAAAGAGAAGGGGGAGGAAACGACGGGCGGGAGGAGGGAGAGGATGGAGCAGGGGCACGAGGGAGCCCTGTCTGCCACACCCTTCTGTCGACAGCTTTCCGAAAGATCTTGCACCGAGAGTTCGTAGGTTCAGAATGGTAGATTTTTGTTTGTTGCTACCACTTGATTCCGTCCTGTAAGTCATTCCCTTTGGGATATTGGGTTCCGTCCGCCAGACGGGGTGGCGCAAGCAGCAGTTCGGAGCTCACGTTGGAGCACACGTCCCTGCCCCGTCGGAGCAAAGAGGGTCCCGCTAGCATGGGCGCCGGGGCGGAAGAGGGGGAGGAAGAGGGCGGCGGAAAGGGGGACACGGAGGGCGAGAAAGGTAGGGGAGAGGCTGGGGGGGGGGAGGGTGCAGGAGATAGAGGAAAAGGAACCATGCACATACACCGATTTGGGCCAGGTCCGTCCTGAGCCCAAGACGGTGCATACGCCCTCCTGCCTTGGCCAGGAAGGCATATGCACCGATCCTGGAGCCCAAGGATGGGCCTGGCCAGGACCGGTGCATGTGCGTGGTTCTCTTCGCCAAAGTCGTGAAAGCCACTGCGCAATGCGAGATTCACGATAATAGCAAAACCGATCGCAGTCATTGAAGACATTGCTTTTGGGTTTGGGGGACATGGAGGGGGAGGAGGAGGGGGAGGAGGAGGGGGAGGAGGAGGGGGAGGAAGAGGGGGAGGAAGAGGGCGGCGGAAAAGGGTGACATGGAGGGCGAGAAAAACAGGGAGAGGCTGGGGGGGGCGAGGGTGAAGGAGAGGGGATGGTGGTGACCAGGAGGCGTGACAGCAACCCCTCGGCGGGCGCGTGCCTCGTCGCGGCCGTCCTTGTAGCGGTTCACCAGCAGCTGTATTAGCGCCAGTTCCTGGCGCGGGCGCCCCCTGCAGAGACCTCCTCCTCCTCCTCCTTCTCCTCCTCCTCCTCCTCCTCATCCTTCCCCCCATCCTCCATCCACCCTGGCAACGTCTTCAAAGATGGAGGGCGGACTGCTTTCGAAATGTGGATGTCGCCTGAGCGGCCCGCGCATTCGTCTTAAAGGTTTTTGCAGCCGCTTCACGACTGGAGGGCGGCTGGTGTTCAAAATGGGGCTCTCGCCCCAGCACCGCGCGCGTTCGTCTTCACTGTTTGCGCAGCTTCGAAGATGGGGGTGCAATTGGCTCTCGTATCCGCGCACAGCGCACATTCGTCCTAACACTTTGCAGCAGTTTCGAAGATTCGCCGGGTGGAGGCCCCAGGAACGGTGTCATGGCTCGATTTAGAAACATCCAGTTACAACAACCACATTGTATTGCTGTGCTGACGTCTCAAGAATTACATGCTGGGGCGTCTTACAATTGTCAGGACGCAATAACCATTTTGATTCGCAGCGCTGCAATCCCAAGAACGGTGTTTTGGCACGGTTCAAACACCTCAGACGGTTTGTCTTCCAATAAGGCACTTCCCGCAATGAAGCTTCTTTCTTAGAGGAGCATTTGCAAAGGAGCTTGGAGGGATGGTCCACTGCAACATAATTTGCGCGTCTTAGCTTTACACTGGTCCCCCTCCTCCCACCTCCACCTCCTCCTCCTCCTTCCCCTCCTCCTCCTCCTCCTCCTCCTCCTCCTCCTCCTCCTCTTCCTCCTGCCCTCTCCCTCCGCCTCAAACCCATTCCTCCACCTCGTCCTTTTCCCCCTCCTCCACTCCTCTCGCGCTCGTCCTCCCCCGCCCAGGGCCCCTGCACCCCGCCTCCTGTTGTCCAGAGAACGGCGATCCCTTGACTCCGATGGCCCCCGCACGCGGCCGCTCGGACCCTTTCTGGAGGGGGGGGGGGAAGGCAGGGGCCTGTGCCACGCACCGATCCATACGATACGGAGGAAGGGGCAGCGGGGCCAAATTGGGGGGTGAAGCGTGCCAAAGCCAGCCGTGCTACCACCTCGCTCGGGCCCCGTCGCGGGGGCCCGGGCACCCAGCCCCCCAGGGGAGGGGTCCACGGGCCCCCCTCCCCCAGGACCCCGAGTCCGAGCGCAGCATATGGCTACCACCACCAAGACCGAGAACAATCTACGATGCGATTTGGTGCAGTTTTGCTCTGGTGAAAAGCCCGCAGTCCCCCTCCCGCCGCCAACGGCAGCCGGGCTGCCCCCTCTCTCGTAAGGACCGAAACAGGATTTATCAAAGCACGCGCGGTGGTGGTGTATAAGAGTTTGGTTACCAAGAGGAGCGATTTTCATACACCACCACCAAGAAGTGCTGTTTCTGTTTCAGGAACTCCCCATGCCACGGCGCCAGCGAGCTGCGCCGCGCTCCTTTTCGCCGTGGCGTCGCAGCGTCGTCTGGCATGACCCTGCTCCTAACCCTTTTTGCGGTAAACTACTGTTGCGGGCGGTGGTGTATAAAAATTGGCCTCGCACCGAGGGCACGCCTCCAGGCAGTGCCCGCGCGAGGGGGCAGAACAGCAGGACGCGCCGCTGGGGGCCCAGGCGGCCCCAGGGGTGGCAGCATGCAGCGGCCCTCGTCCGTCTCCAGGCTTGCCGGTCTCGCCTGCTGCCCGAGTTCGGCTTCTAGGGGCGCCCCGGGGAGATGTCAACGTGCTCTGCCCTCCAGGCGTCGCCACTCGGGGAGGCGTTGCCGTCCGCACCGCCATCTGGACGCTCGTCGTTGCTGGTTGGCGCGCCCTCCTGGGGTCGTGGCAGGTCTGCGGCGTGGGCCGCTGCGCTGGCCCACGGGCATCCCGTCCTCGCGCGCCTCGTGCTGGTCGCGGGCGGAGAGGGGCGCCCCGATGGCTCCGGAAAAGGCCCGGCGCGCGGGCCGATCTCGTCCTCGTCCTCGTGGTGGCAGCCAACGCGCATGCAGTCGGGGCCTTGACCCAAGGAACCCTAAATAAGGAACGAGGCCCCTATTTTCCATAAGTTGAACTTCGACTTCGTATCGAAAACCTAAGGGACATCCAAGGCAAGCTGTGAAACACTTAAGGAACGCGGAGCCCCTCCCCAACGAAAAAGGTTCCTTCTTCAGGGCCCCGGCTGTATCTGCGGGTAACATCATGTCGTGGAGTTTGTTCTGAGCGGGACATGTACATGTCGCGATTGTTTCGGCGGCGAAATCGGCGAAACCCTCCGCGAGAGCCCCCCCTCGTCTGTCATAGTCCGGAGGGGAATCTAGACCCTCCAGTACGGTGTACATGATGGTATCAGGCTCCATCAGGGGGGGCCCAGCTTCGATGGATGAGCAGCTCTCGAATGGCACGCTTGCGCTTGGCAATGGCGCGCGCACATGCGCTTATCATGCTTTCGATCCTGGCGGGCAAATTCCCCGAGAAGAGTCTCAGCCTCACAGTGTTACCTGTTGTGAGAACAATCTCATGCAAAGACAGGCGCGGTGCAAGGCTCTCGAGTCGGACATTCGGGGTCTCAATAAAATGCGGCCAATAGCATTCCACTCGGCAAGCTCGGGCGGCAGCGACGGGATAATATTACGGAGGAGCGGCAGAAGAACAAGGCACTGGAAGTAGTGTATAGTATGGTCGGAAGCCTGGACCCCGCAGCCCATAAGACAGCACATATAAAGAGATCGAAAACGAGCACTAGTCGGCCAGGAATTACATATGGATTAAAGCAGGGAAGAGACAAGGAAAACTCGATACCAAAAACCGCTATTGCTCATAGGGGCCTCGCTCCCAAATGTTCGGATCCTCGGGAAAAACAAGACGGGGATGGAAGGCCGCTCGAGTTCTTGGCAATCGTAATGGCCACCTCCCTTTGTATGTCGTATGTATACTCGTCCACATGGGGGCAAATCCGAGCACCATTGTGCCAATTGTCAATCAAAGGCCCGCAACTAGGACTGCCAAGCCGTTCTCCGTGTCGAATCACGGCCAGCCCCTCGACGCCATAATTCTCAAGCCAGTGGGACCGTTCCTTGGCGCGGTCGAAAGCTTTGCTCCTAAGGGCGATCCGAAACAGACTGGTAGCCGGGAGATTCCGAGGTTCCACAGGGAATCCGATATTCAAATAGTGCTGGAGAAGATGGGTGGGGATGGCGTGTCTAGGTCCCTGGGTCGACCTCTGGACGGCAGCTATTTCCGCTCGGATCACCCCGGGCCTGGCGGGAAGCACCTGCAACGCGTGCGCCAGCACAGAAAAACCAGACAGTTGTGCGCGTAGATGTTTTGGACCAAAGCTAACCCCAGCGTTTTGATGCGCCCGATCCTGGAGAGGAACTTGAGCAGCACAGGGGCCCAAGAAGCAGCGGGCCCCGAAGGCACAATTATGACTCCGATCTACTTCCCATGGAAGACTGGACTGTAATCCCCCGCCTCAGGAGCTCGCTGTCGAGCTCGGTCCGTTCATTCTCGCGAGTGAGAACGACCAGGCGCCCCTATAAATTCGGGAGGAAGCCCGAGACGGAGTAGCTCTGCATAACAAAACGCATCAGAGCAGGCAGCGTCTGCCGAACATCGCCCATGGCCTCGCCAACGTCGTCGGCAAAAACACATGGGGCGGACGGGGTTCGGGCCCTCATGTGATTTCGCGGAGCTTCCGAAGGATGGGGTCGAAGGCCAGGGCAAACAACGCCCCCGAGAGGAGGCGACCACGTTTAATCTCGCGGGTCCTTGAATATCCGGGATAATTCACCCCACCCAACATTATGTCGGAGTAAATGTCGGAATAGACCTGCCTGCCTGCGTGCAGAGCAAATGCTGGGATGCCCATCTGCTGCAGAACATGGTATATCCACTGGTCAGACAGCGACGGAAACGCCGCTTCAATGTCCGGCAGAGGGGCCAGCGAACGGGCAATCGCGTTAGCAGGCATAGTCCAGGAACGTGGATTCGATGCCAATGCCATTATCTACTAGGTACCTTCCCTTCACAAAACCTTTTTGCATCGGATCAGTTGAGAAAATTACCCGGGGCCCCGTAGGGGCGCACACAGAATCCTGTTGCAGGTATCACTCAGAGTGGTGGGCCTCGCCTGTCTCGGTGGCGGATGATGCTGATGATGACGATGATGACGATGATGCTGATGATGGTGATGGGCTCGCTCAGCTCATCGCTCTCGTCCTCCTCGGGCGAATCCGGCTTGCGAGGCTCACCCTGCTGACCTCGCAGCTCAGCGCGTAGTCCTCGTAGCTGTGGAGGTGACTGTCGACGCTGTGTTCGTGGCCCTTATAGTTCAGCTGGTGGCGTTGTCAACTCTGCTGAAGGCTCTCGCATCTCTGCTCGTCCCCAGCGTAGCTTATTCAGCTTGCGACCGTCGTCGTTGCTCAATTGGTGGCCTTCGTTTTCAGCCGGAGGTCCTCCTAGCCCTGATTTTGGCCCTCGTAGCTCAGCTTGCGGCCCTCGTAGCTCAGCTCATGACTCAGCTGGTGGCTCTCGTAGCTCAGCTGGTGGCTCTCAGAGCTCTGCTCGCGGCCCTCGAAGCCCCCCCTGTTGCCCTCGTAGCTCAGCAAGTGCTCCTCGTAGCTGCCCCGGTGGCTCTCGAGGCTCGGCTCGTGGCTCTTGTACTTCAGCTCGAGGCGCTGGGCGCTCTGCTGGAAGCTCTCGTAGCTCTGATCGTGTCCCGCGAGGTTCAGCTTGTGGCATTCGTAGCTCACTCAGCTGGCAACCCTCGTAACTCAGCTAGTGGTCCTCGTAGCCCTGCTTGAGGCCCTTGAAGCTCATCTTGCGGCCGTGGTAGCTCAGCCTGTGGCCCTTGTAGCTCTTCTGGTGGACCTCGTAGCTCAGCAAATGGCCCTGGTAACTCAACCAGTGGTTCGGGTAGCTTTGCCTGTGGCCCTCGTAGCTCAGCTTGTGGTCCCCGTGGCAGAGCTGGTGCTCTCGAAGCTCAGCTGGTGGCCATCGAGGCTCTGCGCGGTGCCCAGGAAGTTCGGCGCGTGACCCTCCTAGCTCTGCTGGTCGCACGTGGAACTCTGCAGGTGGCCAACGTGACTCTGCTGGAGGTTTTCGCGCCCTGCCAGTGGTTCCCGGAGCTCTGCAGATGGCCCTTGTGGCACTGCGCGTTGCCCTTGAAGGTCGTCGGCCAGTGGCCCTCGGAGCTCTGCAGGTGCCCTGATAGCGCAGCGCCTTCTTGTAATTCCCTCTCCTCCTCGAGGTCGTCGCCAACCCAATTGCCGGGTGCCGAGTCTAAGGGAGGGGGAACCAGCCGAAACCAGTCCCGCCCTTCCCCTCGAAGAATGTGGACACTCTGGCGGTGGTTGCGGCCGTTGTAACCGTAGTCCAGGTAACCGTCGAAGCCGTCGTAGCCTACGTGGCCGTAGTCCTGGGATCCAGCGTAGCTACGGTGGCCACCGTGGCTCTGGATGGCGGCGTCGTTCGGGGGCGCGTCTGCGCCAAGGGAGGGTATGATCACCGTGCTCGCAGTCGTGGTCGTTATTGTCGTTCTCGCAGTCGTGGCTGCTGTGAATGCGGTCGCCGCGGCCGTGCTGACCCTCAGAACCTGGTTGCTTGTTGCGCAACCCTTCTCCTTCGAATCCTGGCCGCTACGCAGCTCGTCGTATTTAGTATCATTGGCAGCGTCGCCGTAGCCAAGTACATTGTTATAAACGGCACCGGTGGCGATCATGATGTCCTTGAGGTTTGGCCAGAGCCCGTGAGCCCGTGTCTTACACGGTGGCCCATCCGCTTGAGAACTGCCGCTGCCCTCAATATCGGCATGGCGTCTACCAGTAGGTCTCCACAAATAGTGGGATGAAATCATAACACTGGCTGTTCGCGAAGTTCGGCCTGT